TAGATGACTGCACAGCACAGTGAAAAGGCAGCAATACCACATGATGGCTCCAAGTACGGAGGCAGAGCAAAATTTTTAATAAGTAATTACACATGAACTTGCTCACTGTCAGCAGAACATCTCCTGACATCCTTCTCCACTTGTTTAAAAAGAAAGAATCCAGCTGCAGGCAACTGCTAATTAAATACTTTGGCTTTCAGCTACAGTTGCTGTATGCACACATCTGCTGTGCAATAAACACTGTGTTAAGTGTAACTGACATATTTTCCAAGCTCTAGGAGAGATTATTTATTATATGAAGAAAGAAAAAGCAAGTAGGGTCCAAGCCCCTCCTGCATATCCACTAGAAAGTAAAAGCCACAAAATGTTTCAAGTTAGAACTGTTTAAAATGCCTTTATTGCTTAAGGGCAGTCTTTAAACTCACATTCCAAGGCTTTGCTCCCAAAACAACATATTTACTAACGTTTTGGCCTTGAAATTATGTAAATTGAAATCTATATTTCAGTGCTAGACACATTTAAGTAGCTCATGTTGAGCACTTTGGATTAAATGGATCATAAGCAACATCATGTTCCATTCCCCCTGATTTCACAATATGTATTTCAGACAACAGACTTGAACAGAGGCAGACAAGTCAAACATCCGTAACGAGGTCCTTCTAAAGTCAACGAGGCATTGGTCAGACTGCATAGGCCTGCATGAATATCAGTGAGCTATGTGAGCTCAGACATAACATGGGAAGAACGAGCCAAAAAACATGTTTGAGCAATGCCACTCAGACCAAGGAGATCTCAGAATCTGGTCAGTGGTATTAAATGTCTAGTACTAGTATGGAATTAGCTTTTGACTGTAAAGCTGCTGTACATTACTACTATTCAAGTATTTTATGTCTCTCTAGAACTTAAAATGAAACATCTGTCACACCTTTTGCTGGCTACTGTTTAAAGCAGCTATTCTTACAACCAAGTATTACAGGAGGAACATTTCCATTTAGGTTCACCTGTGTCCCTACGTTTACTGCATACAGGTTTATAACATTTAGGTTACACAGAGTAAACAATCTCCTTAAATGCAACTATACACTTTCAAGTAAAAAAAAAAAAAAAAAAAAAAAAACCAACAACGAAAACCCCCACAAACCCCAAACCATCACCAACTAAATTTTCTTGCTTCCCTATGTCAATCAGAAGGGCTACCGTCTCAAATCAGAGGGAGGACTTCACAATAAATATATGAGATCTTATATTCTCCACTGAGACTACAAACAGGCAAAATACTAAGATGAAAGGATATTAAAATTTGACAAAACTTTTGAACAGCATCCAGCAGACAGTACTCAAAATCTTCTGTAAGCTAGCCAACCCAAGGGTATGCTGATCAGCAACTTTCTCTCATCTCAGATGAAGTAAACAGATTTATCATATTACTTATTATTTGTTACTCTACTACCACAGCGGATTTACACAAGTGAAAAGGGCCATTTTTAGAGTTAGTAGAAACAAATAGCACAGTTTAAGTCACAGTGTAGTAATCTTCATAAACAACTGCAAGAGTTGAATTTACCCATAACTGGCTGTCAACCAACAGCCCACTTTTAGTATGTAATCAGCACAGTTTTATTCTCTTTACACTTAGAACTAAATCTCTATTCTGCTTTAAGTTACACTATGACATCAAATTCATCTTAGCTCCTCTCTAGAAAATAATTAGAGATGGAACTGCAAGTATATATGGGAGAGAAGGGGAAATAAATGAGAAACTTGATGTACATTTGACAGTAAAATAGCACTGGATTAGAACAATAGGCTAGACCAGAACATTGTTTTTCTTTTTGCCTTAAAATACTGAAAAACAATAATGAAAAACAAACCAACTATCAACAGAACCTTAGAAGAGCTATCTTGATCATAGCTCCTACCAGCCTAGAGCTGAGCACAGCATTTACTGTCTTCAACAGCTACCAAACTCAGAAGTAGCATCTACTTCCACGCCTCTTGTTCCAAGTCTGCACAAAGGATGACATCCACTACTGGGCCAAGTTACTCTATGAGCTCCAACAGGACAGGGCAAGCCCAAGGAGCCCTGTGGACACGCTAACCACGAGATAGCAATGTGCACTTGTGGTCAAGACCAGTGGTACCCTGGGGTGCATTAACATTAAGATGAATGTAACCAGCAGGTTCAGGGAGGTTCTGCTCCCCCTCTACTCTGCCCTGTTGAGGCCACATCTGGAGTACTTTGTCCAGTTCTGTACTCCCCAGTTCAACTGGGGAGTACCAGAGAGAGTCCCACCAAATACTAGGAAGATGATTAAGAGACTGGAACAACTCTCATGATGAAAAGCTGAGACCCGGGCCTGTTCAGCCTGGAGAAGGCTGAGAGGGGACCTTATCAATGCTTATAAGTATCTGAAGGGTGGGTGTCAAGAGGGTGAGGCCAGTCTCTTTTCAGTGGTGTCCAGCAACAGTACAAGGGGCAAAGGGCAGAAACTGGAACACACAAAGACCCACTTAAACATTAGGAAAAACTGTTACTGTGCGGGTGACAAAGCATTGGAACAGGCTGGCCAGAAAGCCTATAGAGTTGTCTTACTCAGAGAATTTCAAAACCCACCTAGACACACTCCTGTGCAACCTTCCCTAGGGTGAACTTGCTTTGGGTGGGGTTGGACTACATCATCTCCAGAGTGCCTTTCCAACCCCTACCATTCTATGATTCTGTGAAATTTTCTATCACTTCTGAAAATGATGTCAAGATGCTATATTTGGCAAATCAATTTTATAAAAAAAAAAGCTCTTGAGAAAGACAGGAGGATACTCTACTCTACATTCTGACAGAAGCATATATGGACTACTCAAAAGGGGAAGAACCATTTATTTCATTAGAAGTTTTCAAGAACAACAATAAGAGGGGGGTTTGGTGTTTTGGTTTTTTGTTTTTTTTTTTTTTTTTTTTTTTCCAGAACACACTGATCAATGCCTCCCAGCACACTGTGCCAATTCCTTGTATCTGGTACTCTAACAAAACTGAAATTCATCTGGGCACACACAAGAATTGAAGCAGAGCTTTAGAGACATGATCGTTGTGTGAAAAAAAAAAACCACGAAGTAATTGCATAATCTGTAGAATATAAACAATTTCCAAGCATAAATAGGTTTAGTAATTCACTTTGATAACTTCAAGGCAAAAAAACAGCCAGAAGTCCACTTACCTTTTGACTACTATTAAATGAAAGTTTAATTCATTCCAATGAACCCATTCATCTTGAATTTAAACAGATTCTTCCTTGTAGGGCAGAAGATGTACCATTAGAATATCAGATAATACTTTTCTCAAACCCAAGAAAAGAGTTACAGTTTATGTGAACAATGCATGTCTCAGATCTATGAATTCCCCATTTTTTTACTGCTTACAGATGAGAAAGAGGTAGTGACATTTTTATATTTATCTTTGAAAACATCATTTAAATCTTACAATTTTGAAGCTAATGAGGTTTGTTTGCTTTGTTTTATTAGAAAAAATACTCAGGCAAGGTCTACAATCATTTGTCAATTATAAATGACTTACAAGAAACTCATGAAGCAATAAAATTAAAAAAATACAAATACAAACTATATCTGAAACACTTCTATTTGGCAATTTTATAACAAAGTCAAAAAAGAAACAAAGATTACGGATTACTTTATAGGTACATAAAAAGCAGTAGGTGAAGTGCTCAAGCAAAAAAAAAAACCAAAACACTGCATTTTTTTCAAAAATAAATTCACGTCACTACAGATTTTATGAATAATACCCTTATTAAACAACCATTCCAGAACATCTTATATTAGTGGTGCTCTTAATCTGCACTTCATTTTGTTTGATAAGACTTTTTTTTATGTGTATATAAGTAACATTTTTAACCCCCTGGAGCTAAGCAAGACTCTTGTGTCAGTAACAATGCAGAATGCATTTGTATTATATTAGGACATGCTCACTTCTGCAACCAAAGGGTTACTTTAAGTTTTATTCTACTTAATAAAAATTTAGTGTAAAAACTGCTGGTTATTAGTTTGACTGTAGTATATTCCTCCCTAATAAGGAGGACTAACTCTGCAGTTTGACTGCATATATCCATAGAAATTTTACATATTAGTTCCTTCCAATAGTAAGGAAAAAACTAATTTCATGTTCACTATTAGAAAGGAGCGCCATGAACTAATTATGGGTACTATTCATCCCTCTAAGATTTCTGGGAAGGATGTTCAATTTTTTTTGTTTTTTTTTACAACAGGTATTAACAGTAGTATATAGTCCCTTAGGTATGTAAAAGAAAGGTTTTTTTTATTGTTAAGGAAGGTGCTTTTTTTAAACAATTCTTCTGGCAGCACTAGTGAATTACAATATCCTTCAATATTATTTCTACCGTAATATATACACTTTAACTTTCATGCCTCTAGAAAAACATCTACAGTACATTTCATAATATAAAAATATATTACAAATCTGCTGACGTATTTACAAGCAATGTTCTATTATCTATATGCAACATTTTTGTCTCCATACAAAGACTAACAGGTTAGACACATCTCTATTTGTCAGTTAAAAAAATCCATGGCTTCTTGCTTATTAAGCAAGAAAATGATTTTACTTTCCTTTTCAAAGCCAACTTTGGTGCATAAAGGATTGAATTTCTAGATTTTATTTTTTTTTTTTAAAAATACCATTTTCTTTACATCTAGAAAACATTAGGCCAAATAAAAAAAGTATACTTTACAAGTGAATGCGGGTCCTAAAGGGTCAAAAAAGTAAAATAAAACACCAATAACACTAATTGCTTAAGTAGAGGTTTTTCAAAAACCATCCATTGATACAGATCACATAGAAGCAGATCTCATTAGCATACTATACTACTCCTGAAACGGGGGTCAGACATACTGCAACACTCTTTAACATCTTTAAACCGTACTATATGTATTCATAGTTGATTGGAAAAGACAAGCATTCCATCAACATTTGTTTAAACGTTATAATCCAACATTTTAGGGATCTGCAAAGGGACACGAGGTTACAAATGACAAATGATTACTATCCACCATACTCAAAGGGCAACAGGACAATCCCTTGGTAGCTGTTTTATTGTCTGGCAAATGTTATATTTAGTTAGCATTGACAAGAAGCTTAACAGCTTGTTAACAGTTCTCTTGGGAATTGTGAGTAAATGGTGATGGTTACTTTTTCTTTTCATCAAATATAAACTACTGTATTCACTAAAGAAAAAAGCAGCTTAAAGTAGCAAGCATGCAAAGCCTTTTAGTTGTTCCACTAAGTTGCCAGAAGAGTGTTTGCTCAGTCTCCCACTGTACCATTCCATGAAAATGTGGATATACAGTAATATATTAATATATTCCACGGAAGCATCAACTTCATTCACAGAATGTTTACACTAAGCATAAATATTTATCTAAGAAAAAAAAAAAGAATGGGATTTGACTAATGTGCAACTTTATTTCTAAATCCATTGTCAGTGACTAAGACTGCAGGTGTCCCCACGTGCTTGGTTTTTACCTCTTCAACCTCTTCTGGGGCATTGTTCTGCAAGAGAAGATGGTAAGAGTTTCACATAAAAACCCACTATGCAAATTTGCGTCAGCTACAGTATACTATGAAATGACAACTATATAAAAATCTATTTTTATTCAATTTGATTAAAACGGAAATCCATTTTAGACCATATTAGCACACAATTCAGATCATTATTTCAAACTTTCTATTGAAGTCATCATTTTAGCATGATGTAAATAGCTGTCACTTAATTCTCTTAACCACTTTTTTCCATTGCAATGTTTTGGTCTTCAACATTATTTCTTTGATCTCTTTGGGATAGTTGGTCCCAAAGATTTTTAATCACACACTGACCTTATGCAGCTACAAATCTAGTACATTGTGTAAGGAGACCTTTATTTTATTTGGGAGAGGTAGAAAGGATTGGCCATTTTTCTCCAAGGACCTAATCTCAAAGACCATAACATTTTGATTTTAAAAGTTATTTTTGCTCTTTCAAAGCAAAGTCAACTATCAAGTTTTACAAAAGTAATCAGAATAGAGACAATTAACACCTAAATTAGATTGAAAAAGTCACTGTTAAGCAGTTTTAAAACTCAGTCCAATTTCTTGATAACATTTTTATGATTTACTGTTAATATCAGTAATTTGTATATGAAAGTAAGTATTTTACATACTTACATTTATAAAGATAGCAGATATAGTAAGACAATTTATTTTCATATTATAAACCAAGTTTCCATTAATCTGATTAGTGAAATACAGTGAATATTAAAGGTGAACTGAAAGGCTTATTGCATATCAAGTCCTCAGATCAGTGTTCTAATTACTCCTTTAGACACCAGGTGACTGAATGGCAAGGAAGAACACAGGAACACTGAACTTCTGTTATGGCAAAAAGAATGCCTTCCCCCCCCCGCCCCCCCCGACCCATTTTCATGGAGTTTTAATGTAAGACCATAAATATGTATTGTTTGATATTTAAGAAGATTAATTAAGCATTTCAGATTACCTTTAAAAACTGTACATAGACAGAACTGTAGGTACTGACAATTATGTGAGCACACTAAGGAGGGGGTGGGAATCAGGAAATTATTAGAAACAAGATGGATTAGAAGCCAATCTGAAGTCCTAAAAACACAAATGTGAACACAGCTTAAAGACAAGTAACATTACTGTCCCCTTCTGTCCCCCTCCAAAGAATCTTGCACTAAAAAAATAACAGTACTTGTATGCAAGTACAGATTTCAAGGTAATACTGCATGTATTACAGCTGAATATAAAATATGTAAAGATAAATTTGGACTTTAAAAAAATTGGTATACAAACCAGTATGTGATCTTAACAGAAGTGATCTTTCAGGATTCCACTGTATGTACCTCCTTTACTAGAATTTCTGTACACCAAGCACAAAAAAGTAAAATACACTTGGTAAATACACACATTCCCCGTTTCTCAGTAACTAGAGTTCAGTTCAAGAAGTAATTCTGAAACAACTTAAGACCTCAGAACTTAACTCCTGGACGCTGACACGATCAAGGCTTCCTGGTCTGGTGTATAATGCATCAGCAATCCTGATTTTCCAACGTCAAAAAGTTAAGTGAGGCTTAAGAGTATACTTAAGTACAGAAAGCTTCAAAATGAGGACATTACCTGTATATGTTTGGGTCCAGAAGCAAGGCAGTATCTTTTGGCAGTTTTGATAAATGAACTACTTTAGTTTTTAACTGATGTCGTTCACTTTCATTAACCCACACATCAGGCAGACTATGAATAAATAAATAAAATAAAAATATTCAAAAAAGATCAAAAGTTTTTCTTACCATAAAATCATGTGGTAAATTAGTACATATGAATTTATTTTAAAGTAAGCTTCACATTTCACTGGTTAAAAAGCATCTTTGCTGGAGTGAGGAAAAGACAGCCTGTCTTTACACATTATACTTCGAAGTTTTTCAAGTTCTCAGTGTGAAGATACTAAACAAGATTTAGAATATTCCAGAATAATATTAAACCAAAACAGGGACACTGGCTATACATTCTACGTTTGAACAATTTAATGTGAAAATAGGTAGCAGGGAAAAAAAAAAAAAAAAACAGATCTTTGAAAATACTTTATTTTATTAGGCACAAAATTCTTTGATCCAAAAAAGTGAAGGCCAAAATATACTGCAGGCACCGAGCTTCCAGTTACACTAATTTCCTTGCTCCAAAGCTTTCAGTGTCAAGATGTTTAAAGCTTTCAATGTCAAAATGCTCCAACTCAGCCAAACTTAATTATTTGATTATCTTTCAAGCAAATCCAGGCAATCACCTCAAAATATTTTGGCTAGGTAACAATTCTCGTTGTGAGATGGAATAAAACTTGGTCTTCACACGTTAAAGGGAATTGTTGCTTCAGTGCCAGGTGTGGTGAAGCTTGGGGAAGAGAGCTGGAGATGACACACACAATCTGCCTATGATTTATACTTTAATTCTTCAAAAAGAAACATGCCTACTTGAGAGTATATAATAAGGCTTATTGCCTTATTGCTGCTTTTACTGAAAGCACATTGGGTTTTTAAGGCTCTGCTGAAGTTTTCAGGTAACACTTTTTTAAGAGAAGAACTGAGTTTACAGAGGTCATTAGTGTCTTACTGAAAACCCATCTTCCTGCCTCCTTCCAAAAGTTCACATTGACTAATCCTGCGCAGAACAAGTGACCCATTTTGCTTTCACTACTGCAGAGGGGTGCAAAAACACAAAAGAAAACAAAGAAAAAAAAAAAAAATCAACACCCCCCCACAAACACAATCCAAAACCAACAAGCAAACCAACAAAAAACCAACAATAACAACAAACAAAAAGGAAAACAAACACCCATCCCACAACCAACAACCCCTGAGGTTATATTCAGCCCACGAAGTGGTTTTTCTTTTAACCTAACCTCAGAGCCAAAAATTAATTTCAGGTTGGGGAAAAAAGCTTAAGTTTGTAATTACATATTGTAACATTTTGAAACAAGTTTCAAACTGAGAAACCCGACATCAAAGAGTACCTGAATGAAACAGTTCTTTCTCTGATTAAAGTTATACGCAATTTTTTAGAGTTTTTTCAAAATTCTTACACTGACTCTATTTTTCAGCAATGAAAGTTAGGTGTAACTCAAATTAAATTTATTGAATATTTATCATCTGAAAAAAATGAAATTAAATAGAGCTATCACCAATAAGAAGAAAAAATTCTCTGATACTTTTCCCTATTCAAAGAAAGGTGACGGGGGAAGAAAAAAACAGGTGACGCACATCACAATTCAGGTATATACTAAGCTTTAATGCAGATTATGAAAGGTGAAAAATATCATAAAACTTTTTTTTTTAAATAAAGCCAAAACAATTTTTTTTGACAAGCAACATTTGGAAGACTTTTTAGGAGAAGCTGTATGCTGATGATGTAAAACGATTCAAATGGTAAATAAGAAAACTCTTCACGTGCAAAGACTATCTGAAATAAATATACATAGAGACAACAAGTCAGTAAGCTAAGAAGTACTGGCATAAAGAATTCACTCCTGCTCTAAAAGAGTTTTTTAAAAGTTATTTCCCTCTTGTATAGGAATCAGGATAAAGACTAGTATTTACTTTTCCTGAAAAAATACTTAATGTACAGATAGCCTGGAGCAGTTTGACAGTTTCTGAAGACGACTCGGAACAGAAAAAGTTAAATCATTATTACTAGCTCCATCCAAAAGGCTATGAACAGCTCAGCACAATGAGAAGTAATCATCATGACTGCATTCAACTTTCTGAAGTGTGAGTACATTTCACATGTAAGAGGGATGGAAGACACGAGCCATGGTACCTTGCATTTGCTGTTCTTAACTGTAATAATTAAGATGAAATTAAATCTGCTGAATACTCAGCAATTCAAAACCACATCATTCAGTGCAGGAAATACATACCCTCTATCTAACCCAAGATGCAAGAAATACCTATAAAAAAAACATTCTTCCTTTGACCTAACCAACTGTATCCACATTCTATTGGCAACTGCTTAACTGAACAACTTGTCTTCTCCAATGCAGAGGTTCTAATACTTCATTCATCTGCACGAGCAAAAAAAAATCTCATTTGAATGTACTGATAAAAAGTACTTTATTTATTAATTTCTCATGTGCCCAGTGTTACATGGTTTTGAAATGCTTATCTTAAAATGTAGCTAACTACAACATTTTACTAAGAATGATTTCAGAATGTTGTTACATACAGTATTACTAGCTGTCCTAAAATGGAGCAAAAATTTTTACTTTTACACTTTTTACTAGAATATTTAGTTATTCTTTCTCAAGTTGAGCTCAAACTTGCAGTCTTAAAAGTGTTGCAATGAACAGCAAAAGCTGCAGACACTTTAAAATTGCACCAAAATACCAAACATTGCTTCAGACAACTTATCAGCAACCCTAGTCTTCTGTGAATAGAAGTTACAATAGATTCATGATGCCAAGTTCACACCACTGCACATGACTAATTTGGGACACTACAAAATATGAGTAATTTAAGCCACTTAACCAAAGCAAAGGTAAATTTCTGTTATGCTCAGGCTTTGCATCACCATTCCACTCAGTTACTTCAAAGCAGCACTGAATCTAAAAGACCCTCTTGTTCTAAAAGTTAATTGCATGAACTATGACTATTTCATCAGAAACTTAGAAACCCTTACCTAATAAATTCTACCAATTTAGAGATATCTTCCTGGTAAAACTGAAGTTCCATCTAACAAAGAGCCTCTGAACCTGCATGACCTATCTAATTAGGCAGATATTCATCTTAGTGTGAAATAAATGCCTCAGTTACTTCCATCTTAATGTGATCTAAATGTCTCATTAACTTCATCTGCATGAAGGATCCATATTAATGGATCCAACAAATAAATTCTTACCTTTAAAAGGAAAAGTAATTGTCTTAAAACTTGTGGAAAACATGAAGCATACAGCTACTGCTTCCTAAACTACTCTGCAAACTGCTCTCCTACAGCATAGTGGAAACGAAACATTTATTCCGTTTTTCCATATAAATACGATGAAAATATTTACATATAAATTCTTTTCTGTGTCAAAAGAAAGAGATGAAATCTCAGTGATTCCACAGAAGTAGACAAATTATTTCTAATGAACATTTACTGCTTTGTATGCCCCAAGCCTACCCAAGGGCAGAACCTTCATCCTTCATTACACACAGCTATTCATTTGGAACAAGGCAGAACCTCGAAAAACAACAGAAAAAAGCAGCCAAACATGCTGGAAGAGTATTCCAAGCTCCAGTGGGAGAATCCAAAGAAGCAGTAATATGAGACAGATACCTTCGAGGGCCAACTATGGTTATGATATTGTTAAATTGGGGCACCTAGGCAAAGATTCTTGCAGTTCTACTGTTACACTGATGATTGTACACTTTCAGTATCTAAAATTATTTTAGGATCATGATGCATCAGTGGGTAAAACAAAGTTGTCTCAGTGATAAATTTCCTTATGTATATGGCTGAAAAAATGAACCTGAACTCTCCATTCAACAATTAGAGCACCTTGTTGTTAATAACCCATAGTGACAAAATGCATCAAAAATACAGCTTCAAATTTACCTGAAATGGTATCAGAGCCTAAAAACTTGAGAGCTGAAGTAAAAATCAGTTAAAGTTATTATTTTTTGACCTTCTAAATTAGTTTCTAAAAAGCATCTTTTAAAAGATGAACTTTAAATATTTGAAAGCCATAACACAATTTAGTGACAGACCGTTCATTTACCCCACTGCAAATCTTTCCCCATTTAAATCCTATATCTTATCTCTAGTGATATACTCACATGTCCTCTGGTGTCCAATGAAGTAAGAGTTTTATTTTTCCAGAATCTTCTTTTCTCTTAGCTATTACCTGATAATAATTACATAAATCACAATTAAAACCAAATCTGCAGATTTTTTGCTCAGAAACTGTTGTTCTTCATGTCCAGCTGGACATCATAAAAGGCAAACTGTTTTACTCTTTGAAAGCTGTATTAATTCTCTATGTAAGTAGAATCTACATATCACTACACAAGCCATCCTCGGCCAGGTTTAATATTTACCTTTAACATTTGCCTACTGCGTGGTTCTTGAAAACAAGACCTTTACGACAACAAAATACTTTGTATGAATTTTCCTACTTGCTTCAAATGCCCTCTGCACTTTTGAGCATAAAATGGCTATTAAACCTTTCAAAAATGCTATCCACAGCCACTGCAGACACTGTAAACTCCAAAAAGTTTACCAGAGAACTTTTAAGGCACAGAAATACAGAAGAGTGGAAAGTGCTAAATGCTAAATTATAAAAAATGATAAACTAAAATGTAGTATACAGAACTTCAGTATTTAAATTCATAATCTGCATCCATCAGCAATTTCCCACAACCGAGTTTCCTGGTAAATTAAACTTAGTCACGGTATTTCAAGGAATTTAAAAATATGTTTAAAGCTTTATTTTCACAACTGTGAGGTGATCCTCTAAAAAATGACGCAGAGAGATGTATTCATAGGTTTAACAACGAGGTGATTAACATCCATATATCTTGAGGTATCTGAAGGTATCAACATGCCTGTAGATGAGAACTGGAATATTTGGTTTGTGTGGCAAGGTTTGGGGGGAGCAGGGAGTGTGGCCTGTGTGAAGCTGCTGGAAGGTTCCCCCCACGTCTGCCTGAGCCGATGCCGGCTGGCTCCAGAACGGACCGGCTGCTGGCCAAGGCCGAGCCCACCAGCGATGGCTGCAATGCTGCTGTCAGAAGGTGCTTAAGGAGGGAGGAAAACCACCCCTGTTGGTCAACAGCAACTGCAGCCAGAGAGAGCAGTGAGAACATGAGAGAAAGAACTCTACAGGCACCAAGGTCAGAGAAGGAGTCAGGAGAGGAGGTGCTTCAGGTGCCAGAGCAGAGACCCTGCTGAGGCTGGCTGTCCCACTGCAGGCTATGGAGGTGAACGGTGGAGCAAATGTACACCTGCAGACCATGGAGGACCTCACACTGGAGAAGCTGGATGTGCCTGAAGGAGTCTGTCACCTAACTGAGAGCCTCCACTGGAGCTGGCTCCTAGCAGGACCTATGGACTGTGGAGAGAAGAGTCTACACTGAAGTAGGTTTGCTGACAGGACTGTGACTCCCTATGCTAGAGCAGTCTGCTCCTGCAGGACTACATCCTGTGGACAGGACCCACTGGATCCATACTGGAGAAATCTGAGGACCCCATGCTGGATCACGGGACGAGTGTGAGGAGGAGGGAATGGAAGAGACAGCACATGATGAACTGATCACAAACCCCATCCTGTGTCCCCCTGCACTGCTTGGGGGGGAGGAGGTAGAGAAATCAGTAGTGAAGCCAAACCCAGGAACAAGGGAGTGGTGGAAAGTGCTTTAAGATTTCATTTTTATTTCTCCTTTCCC